TGAAGTGGCCTCCCTGCTTTGCCCCACCCCCTGCAGTCTCTTCCCCACTCAGCAGCCAAGAGAGACTTTTTTAAAATTTATTTTCTTAGGGGTGGAGAGAGAGAGACATTGATTTGTTGTTCCACTTATTTCTGCATTCATTGGTTGATTCTTGTATGTGCCCCGACCAGGGACGGAACTGGCAACCGTGGCGTATCAGGAAACACTCTAACGAACTGAGCCACCCAGCCAGGGCCAAGAGAGACTTTTAGAATGTAAACCACATTGTGTCACACCTCACTGATAAAATAACCCCTCAAAAACCCAGATCAGCAAAGTACACGATCTCCTCCTTCCTTCCTGACCTCCCCTCCCACTCACTCCCTTCCAGCCACACAGGTCTTCTTCCTGTTCCTCAGCTGCAGCGCACCAGGTGCTCCTGCCGCAGGGCATTTGCACTGGTGAGCACTCTGCTGTTAGGCCCTCCCTCCCTCACTTCCCGTGGTCCTGCTAGCACGCGGCCTCCTCAGAGGCCTTCCCCATCCCATCACTCTGTCTAAAACAGCGCTCCATTAGCCTGCCTCCTCTTTCTGCACAGTACTTGTCACTCCCTGATATCTTATGGTTATTATTTATCCTGCTGGCAAGAATAAATGCTCAGCCCCAGCCAATTTGGCTCAGTGGTTAGAGCATCGGCCCTCAGACTGAAGGGTCCTGGGTTTGACTCCGGCCAAGGGCATGTACCTCGGTTGCAGGTTTGATACCCGGCCCCGGTCAGAGCGAGTGTGGGAGGCAACCAACTGATGTGTCTCTCTCACATTGATGTTTCTCTCTCTCTCTCCCCTTCCACTCTCTCTGAAAAGCAGTGGAAAAAATATTCTCAGGTGAAGATAAAAAATAAATATTATAATAATAATAGATGCTCAAAAAAGTGAAGATTTTGTGTTTTGTTCACTGCTCTATTTCTCAGTGCCTAGAATAGGAATGGGGTGTAGTAGATGCTTAATAAATACTTGCTCTGTGTAGCCCTGGCCGGTTTGGGTCAGTGGTTAGAGCGTCAGCCCACGGACTGAAGAGTCCCGGGTTTGATTCTGGCCAAGGGCATGTACCTCGGTTGCAGGTTTGATCCCCGGCCCCAGTCAGGGCAAGTGTGGGAGGCAGCCAATCGATGTTTCTCTCTCACATCCATAGCTCTCTCTCTCACCCCCTCCTCCTACCACTCTCTCTGAAAAGCAATGGAAAAAATATCCTCAGGTGAAGATTAAAAAATAAATAAATAAATACCATGGGAAAATAAATAAATGAATAAATGAAGAAGTACTTGCTCTATGCCAAACAGCGCTTCCTTCAGCCCACAGGAGCCGTGACTCTCCCGTAGGAACTGAGACTCAGAGAGGCGTGGGCTGTCCATGACGGGAGCCCAGTCCCTCCCCTCCTCCTGCCTGCTCTCCATCTCATTTCCCACCTGCAAAATAGTACCCCTGGT